AAAACATGACAAAAATGCAAAGGAATAGAAATATTTAGCTTCTTAAACTGCAGCAGCTGGTTTTCTTGTTTAGCTCTAAAAGGCGATGAACCGACATTTCTGTTGATAAAACGACGCTTGAAGTTTAGTATTTAAGTTTTAAACAAAAGCAGCCAAAAGTTCAAATCTGGAGGGGGTATAACTGGCTTTTTTATTTTTCTCCACACAGATCCCAGAGCGCCTATCTCCTGTTTTACAGAAAGCGAGGTAAGAATCGGACATTTAGTCGGCAAACGAGCCGAGGGGCTGTTGAGGAACGCCCTCTGAATCGGACCGGGGAGGAAAACGTGACTGGGGAAGATGATGATGATGTTGATGATGAAGAGCAGAGGAAGCCTAAAGGTGGAGACGATCGGACGGAAAACGGACCGAAACACCAAGAATCCGGCAACGAGAAAGCCGCCAAATCCCAGAAGGAGTCAGATGTGGAGAAACTAGATGTGGGAGGCTTTGTTGGAGAGAATAAACAGGCAGAAACCGGTGGAAAAATTCACCAAAACAGAGAGGAGATGAAGACTGCTGATGGTGAGGAGCCCACAGAGAGTCGGAGTGAGATAAATGATGGTGGGGATCGTGAGGATGGAGGGAGAAAACCAGAGGAAAAAGAAGGAGAGGAACACACTGGTCCCTGTCGTGGAGAGATTAAAGGGAAAAGAGCTGGATCCCAGAAATCATTTCTGTACAGAATAGAGGAAGAATGTATAGTGGTCACTACAGTCGGTGAAACAGTCACAGATATTAAACGATCAAAAGAGGTTTTAAGAGTTGGCGTCGTTGAGAAAAGAGGAGGGGATGAGAAGAAAAGGAGGAGGCTCCCCGGAAGATGCAGAAAGGTCCAAACCAGAATTCGGAGGCAGGGCAGAAGAAAATTCCTCTCCAGGTCGAAAAAAACGGCACGTAAGAATGGTTTTTCTTAGAATAATTAGAATAATCTAATGTTTATAGATGAAGGACAGGGTGAGACAATATAGAAACGTTCTGTGTAAAAAGTTCTGTTCTGTAAGTCTTTTAAAAATGCTTCTGTTACCATTGATGATCATTTATGACTGAAGGTGATAATTGTTCAAAAGCTGTAGTTATTGGATGGAAAATGAGTTAAAAGATTCCAGGACCTGATGGGAATTTTGGGCTGATTTGTTTTTAGTTTAGATTTGATCTTTTTCCAGGATCTTGATTATCTTATCTAAATTTCTATGTATATATTGTGTGTTTTTTCCTGTTGTTTCGAGCAGCCATTGAGTAAATAATTAATATTAAAGTCATCATAATCTGTTTTACACTCTGGATCATTTGGATATCAAATTTATGGGATTTTCTTCCAAATAGCTGCTTTCTTTCTGTTAAAATATACCAAAAAATGTGTTGTTTTTTTGTGTTTGCTGGCAAGGCTCTTCAGTAAACTATCTTGAGATACCATTAATGCCTATTAATAAATCTTTAATAGATGGTCAAAACTTTCCTTCTGAGTTCAAATGAAATCCGAGTCATCTTCTGTTTCATGTAACTCCCTGATACTCCCTGAAATTCAGTTTCTCTTTTGGTATATTAAAAGATAAAGGGTATAAAACGTCAGCTTCAAAAAGTTTACATACTGTAAAATGCCAATAAAAAAAGAGGATGTGTAAATCTCATTTACCAGCATTATGTTTCCTGAAAACACACCAAATATCAAAGTAATGGAAATGCTGGCAAATATGAATTATTGTGGGGAATTTGGGATATTTGGGGTTTTCTTTATTTTCAGAAACAGTCTGTAAACATCTGGCTTTCTCTTCTCACTTCTTTGTCACTTTTCCCACTTTATGGTGCCTCTTTCCCAACATTTGTTGCCTCTAAAACCCAAATTTTAATTTCATTGGACGCTAAAATGTTAAATGTGTTCCGTATTGTGCTGCTTAAGCTTAAAAAAGACGGTGGAGCTTTCAGTTTTTATATACATTTTACAGCGTAACACCTTTTTGTGCTCTTGGGTTTGTTTTTCTCTGCTGCGATTCTGTAAAATACAGGCTTAAATATTGAATATTTCATATTTACTGCATAGAAGTTGCCACCAGAAGGGGCTGTGCTTAAAATGAGCCATTCCTGTTCAGAGGAAATAACACGAAGTTGGTAAATGTGGTCACAGTTTGTCATAAATGTGTTGATACACTCCCAAAAACTATAAATGAAGCGTCCAGTTCCTGTTGGTCAGCTGCTTTTGCAAACTGTTGCTAGGCAGATTTGAGTCGCTCTTGTTTCGCTGTGGGACCGAAAATGAAAGCAGAGGAAAACTTTTTGCACGGCTTTAAAGTAAACCTGCAGATTTCTGGGACCTCTGAGGGGTTAATCATAGGGAGAGGCCTGGTTATTATCATTTAATGTGTTATTATTACACTACAGACACAAACATATACTCTGAATGATCTAAAAACATACTTTTAAAATACTAAAATATAATTTCCAAACTAATTTTGGTCTTCTTTGTCTTTGAAAACGGGTCCTAATTTGTCCCAGTGGGTTCCAGATCTAATAAACCCCCCTAATCCTTTAACATCTACCAATAATAATGATAATAATTATTATAATACATAGCAACTTTCTCCTGTATTGACCAAAGGACCTCAGATTCATGCTGACTAATGCTCTCATTTGATTCAGCTCCAGATTCCACTTCATTTGGAGCGTTTCCTGATCAGAAAAGCAAAGGAAGTCCCTGTTTTTCCCCCCATGAGCCGTCTGAGTTTAGCCGTTAAGGGACGGGGAGAGATTTTATCTGTGCTCAAACCTGCAACAAAAACACATTAACAGAACTGTGCTGTTAGTTAAATGTGAGCATCACTTTGCTCTTTATGGTCTGACAAGTCCTTCAGAATTGGTTAACAATAGTGTTGTCTTTGTGGAATTCCCCAAAGATTTGCTCTGACTCTTTTTATTGTGTATATATATATATATATATATATATATATATATATATATATATATATATATATATATATATATATTTATTGATGTTTCGTTGCAAAAAATTCAGTGCAATATATATATGTCTAAATATAATTCTTTACGCTTAGAGCTTAGTTATAGAATAGAATAGAATACATATTTATTGTGCATGGTATAAGGTCTTAGCTGTTACACTGGTAGCCAAGTAATCGACATTTCGTTGTCAAATTCACAACTATCACAACACAATTACTATTGCAATGACAATAAAGGAAGTCTAAGTCTAAGTCTTACATACAGTTTCTCCTCGGCTGTTAGAATCAAACAAACGCCGAACATCCGCGTGCAGAGTCTATTTATGGCTTTGATTCGGCCCTTTTTTCTGTTATCTGCTGTTGGAATTCACCCGGTTTAAACTCAGTGATCGAAACAGAAAGAAAAACCAGCCTGGCTCTGGCAGGCCAGGTGCTTTCCACTCCTCTATTACCAAAAGAAAAACAAAGAAAAAAATGGAGGAAGGATGTTTTCTTCCTTCTGATCAGAGAAAGCTGAGACAGGGGGACTTCTGGGGATATTTCAAGTTATGTGGACAGTAGTTTGCTCATAAGTGAATATTAACCAAGCACATGGTTTTATGTTACTATCCAAGAAAGCAAAAGTAAATAAATTGTTTTAGACAGAAATTATGAAGTAAATGGAGAAAGAGGATTTTTTTCCCATGCATTTCCTGTTTAAATAGTAGGTCAGTATAGATTTCTCCATCTATCCAGAGTTACCTGGTGTCTGAAAAATGTGTTTTCTCAGGTTGAGGATCAGTTTCTAATCAGTTTCTAATCAGTTTCTCTCGGTAGAAATCAGGACATGATTTATTGCATGTGAAGGAAGCCTGAAGGGGTCAAAAACCCACATCCAACAACTTTTAAACACCTTTTTAAACAGCCAGTCTTTATTTCTGGAGCATTTTTCACAGCAAATTGGCTTTAAATTATAAAAAAACAACTATTTAACCTGATGAACTCTCGTGTTTTGGGGTGATCAGAGAAAAAACCCAGAGGGAACATCCAGGAACCAACAATTAGGTGTTCTCTCCATGGACGGATGACAGAGTGAGGCTTAAAAATAATTCAAACAACAATTTTTTTTTTTAAATCGGTTCAGTTCAGTAGCTTTTATTTGTCCCAGTATGGGCCATTTTTTTGTTGTAGTAGTATACATTCATACTTCACATATAAAAACACAGGAAAACATTTAAAAAAATCTTTTTTTTTTTTTATTGGAATGTTTTTAATCAATGCATTTGTGGCTTTATTATTTTCATTTGTTACCATCTGTGCAAAAGAAACAAAGCAAATGTCCCCAGACTTTATTATCTTAGTTAAAGACAGATTCACACAAAGCAAAATCAGCATATGTTGTATTTTACAAAGCAGACACATGAAGCTATGTAGCATTTTGAGGCTGGAGCGAACACTTTCTGATGCCCCGACACATAAATCCACCTGATTACCATCATCTTTCTATCTTCTTAGTCTTCCTAACAGTAATAGATACCTCTTCTACTCCTCTTTCTGCACTTCCCTCTCTCTCTCTTTGCTTTCCCCACTGATTCTGACTGGGGATTTTCCTCTAGAGATGTTACAATAACTGGAACATCGAGTCTAAATAGCGTCTAAATGCATAATGCCAAATAATGCTAAATAATGCCAAATAATGCCAAATGCATGAACGAAGTATATGGAGGCCAGCTGGTGTTTTTTGGGGGCTCACTTCTCCTCCCAGTGGGGGATGTGGGTCTGTCTGGGGGCCACTCTCTCTCTCTTTGCTTTCCCCACTGTAT